TCTTTGGGGTCATCAGGTGGGAACCTCCTTCCACCAGTGTTTCATCTAGTTGGTCCCACGACACCTCCAGGAGGCTAGACAGTGATCTCTGGCATCCCAGAGACCTAATGCCAGCTCTCACTGCTCCCCGCACCGACCCAACAACCTCATTTCCCTTACATTACAAATAGCTTTCTCAGCCCAAACAGCACCGCCACCTTCAACAAACCCAGGCTTTGTTTATGCAAGCTCCAGGTACTACCTTTCATAGCACATTCACCATTCACTATTTCACATGCTACAAATCATAACTCCAATATAAGCTAAAGTAAAAGGAGATAGAGAAGATAAACTCTGTCCCCGCAGGAGCAAGACAGCTGATCTTGCTATGAATCCCCTACACCCCACTTCCACTGGACAAATCCTAGTTTTCCATCCTCGCTGCTCAGCTTCTGCTCCCAAGTCTGCATACCTAAGCTTTTTTCTTTCATAGGCTTCTTCCACTGAGTCTTCCCAAGGAACTGTCAGCTCAATGAAATAAACTATCCGTTGACTCACTGACCACAACACTATGTCAGGCCTCTTATTGGTACAAACTATTTCCTGGGGAACAACAAGCTTTCCCCCTAAATCTACTTGCATTTACCAGTCACAAGCACCTTCTAGGCAGCCACACCCTTGCCTCCTTATCCTCCTCCTAACTTATGCCTTCTGTATTTCTCTCCCTCACAGACAAACTGAATTGCTAAACTTCTATTCTTAAAACCTTCGGAATTTACCTGTCTTCGTTTCCCTTCGATGCCTGCAGCTAAACTTTTCAACACGTATATCGGCCTTGTGACAATCTAACTTTACAGCCTGACAAAATATGCTTTAAGGTTGTGGTACCTGAACACAATGAGCATGATGGGTCCCCATTTACCCACAGTTTTAGGTTCTGGGGGGTTGGTAACACATCGTATGTAGCCCCTACCAGGAATCTAATACGATTCTCCTCCATACTCCACAGGTCCCTCCAACTAAGCTTCCTCTTCTCTACACTTTCCCAATTCATCCACTGTCCCTGTTTAGCCTGGGCCACTACCTTTGAACCCCTTAATATCTCCTCCTGTCTACGTATCTGTTCCACAACCAGCTTTCTTTTATCTTTGAGAGCTGCCTCTGCTTCCTGAACTGCCTATCTTGGGTTCCACTTCCTCCCCTTGGTTGGATTTGGAACCACACTCCTAACTACCACGTCCTTACTCCCAGATAACAAGAGCTCTGTCCTGACCTTGGTACATTTAAATTCCTCTGTTAAACTAGATACTGGCAGCTGAAGTATCCCTTTACAAAACAATGCAACACTACTTAGACACCTAGGAGCGCCCAACCACTTCCTAATATAGGAGCTAACTGACCTTTCAATTCTCTCCACAACAGATACTGGAATTTCACTTAATTTCATTAACCTAGGATATAGCCCAAACTGCAAACACCACAACTTCAACTTTCCTGGAAGTTCTGATTTATCTATTCTATCCAAACCTTAAGCCACATCTTTTCTAAATTTCACCACCTGTTCCTCATCATTCAACTCCAGCTCTTTACTGACTTTTCCCTAATTGTTGGGATTTCCTCATCTTCTATGACAAACTTCCTATCACTTAACTTCCCTCTATGTATTGAGATGTTTCTAGACTTACTAGGCTTGATCTTCATGCTGGCCCACTTCACATATAATACATGTATGTGTAGATAATATATATGTTTTTTTAAAACATCAACCTTACTCAAATCCTAAAAATACTCATCATCCCAATCTCACACGGACGCACGCACGCACGCACACACGCGTGTGCGCACACACACACACACACACACACACACACTCAAAATTTCCCTCAAAATGTATTTGCTGTTTCAAATTAGTTGTATCTAAAGGTGATATCGGGGAGACAGGGCTGCTGACTGAGGGAGTTGTTTAAAAGGCAGATATCTCAAGACTTTTTATAACTTGGGTGGCTTCAAGACAACACAGAGGGAGCCAACAGCCTGTTAAAATTCCAGCCCTTGTTAATAGTGTCACAGTGGTAAACTGTGCTATAACAGAGATGGCTGTTTGGCTTTGTTGCCAAATGTAAAAAGCCCTGCTAATTACCACCCAAATGCAGATGTTCACAAAGGTACAAAACAGCCAGCTACAGGAGAGGAGGATGTTACCCTTTGGGCAGCAGTGAAGGAGTATGTTTGTGCTGACTATCTTCCAGGTGTGAGCATGCAAGCTGTATACCAGGTTTTCCTGAGGGGAATATGTGTGTTCAGTCAGCCTGCTGCATTCTGAGTAAACAAGGTTATTGTAGCCAAAGACTTGGCTCTATGTTTTACACACAACCACACAGGGGGGCTGCCAGTGCCCAGAGTAATGAGCTGTGACCTAATGTCAATGTGTTCTCAACACAGTTCACGAATGTTCCATAAAGACAAAGTGAGCAGGTGTTCCATGCAACACTAGGCTAGGATAATAGTTATAAGTCCTCCTAGGCCCACTTGTAGGCAGAGTCCAGTGTCTGGGGAGACTGCAAATCGGCAAGAATAATAACATATTACCTCCAAACATGAACATGATCCACTCACTTGTGCACTTAATTTGCTGTGGAGCTTGTGGGTAACACGCTGCCATTTACACAGGAAAGAAATCCATCAGGAGGAACACAACAGTAGCCAAATAAAACAGCGAGCTCATATATGTTTTCTGTGGTCATCCAAAAGCATTCTGGATAATGATGGGTCAACAAAGTGAAGTGGAAATGGGTAATGCAGGTTGAGGAAAGATGGATTAACAGTAAACAAGGGAAAGTGTGTTGAAATTTTATAAAAAATAATAACACTTCCTCATTGCATTTAGTAATGACTGGATTTTTTTTTTTTTTCATAAACAAGCAGTACGATGATAAGACAGGTAGAATCACACCATCAGGTTTAGTTGAAAATAAAACAAAGGCAAATGGTATATTTGTTACCCAAGCTGACCTTTGTAATTGAATTTTTTGTGCTCCACAAAAATTGTCGGTTACTTTGACATATCTACTGACCTCAGTGTCAACCGTTTTCACAATGCTTTGAAAACCACAAAGAAATTTCCATTGTGTTGGTGAGTCAGAATAAGTTTAAGAGGCAGATATCTCAAAGCCCCAGCCTACACCTAAATCACAGTAACTGCATTGTTGAGTGCTATGTAAGAGAATACGTTTATCTTGTGATTTGGTTGAACCATCCAGGAGTAGCTGTGGGTCCACTCGGTTCCTATTAATAGAGACCTGCTCCAGAGCCCAAGGCAAGCCTGGTCTAAGTTACACTGAGTCTAATCGGGTCAGATCCTGTTGTGTCTTGTTGGTTCTGGGTATCAATATGGCTAATACCCAAATCAAAACAACAACCAACATTCATCTTTGTAGTGCAGCATAATGATCACAGGAGAAAGCATGTGCAGGAAAAATGACATGTACCACCTTTCTTTTCATTTGCAGCAACTTCTTATTTGGTGGAGCATCACACTATTAACTGTTTTGTTGTTCTCTCTGTGTTCTGGTCTGTTTGGGTAAACCACATTTTGGATGAGGTCTCATTACCCTCCGGTATATTTGGATTCACTTCCTCTTGTTTAATTTTTTATTTTTTAAATGCTGGACACGTGTTAATTTGGTTAATGAAAACTATGTTTGTCAGCAACTCTTTTTTCCACAACTAAGATGAGACAATGACAAGATGGCACCGACATAATTTAACACTGACTCTGACTATATCAACATACAATAATATTGATGAAAAAAGACTGAAATGTAGTTGAAAACGTACTAGAGGCGTCTGTGTGCTCTGCTCCAGTAAAAATGTCAGAAGTAGTAGGGATACACAATAATATCAGCACGTCATCAGTATTGGCCAATACCAGCTCTAAAATGAACTATCAGAGTCGTCCAACATGCTTTTTTCTTATTTTGCACAATGAATGAATATTACATTCATTAGAATGCATTTTATTTTATGTCTCCATCTGCTGGTGGGCCATCTCAATAAGTATACGCATGTATAATATGGTGTTAATTCTACTAGAGAAGAGACTGAGGATTACTAAAATTAGGTGGGTAAAAATGCAGATATTGATATTGGCAAAAAAAAAATTCAATATTGTGTATCCCTAATAAGTAGTGTATGAGTTCTTGAATTATGGTCAAAAACATGTTTTTTTAAAGGTCACAGTAACCTTGACCTTTGACCTTTGACAACAAAATTCTAATCAGTTAATTCTTGAGTCCAAGTACACATTTGTGCCAAATTTGAAAAATATTCCCTCACGGTGTTCTTGAGATATTACACTCACTTGAATTGGACAGACACACGGATGGGCAGACGGATAGACTGACAGAAAACCTGAAAATATAATACCTCTGGCCACAGCAGATGCAAAAAAACAGGATGACTTAAAGACTTAAACTAAATTAAAAAAAAAACAAAAATCTACCAATATGAACACTATGTTGAACCAATAAAACCCTTCAGAAGATTTGCTGCCTCCACTCTGGAAATGACACCCACCTGTCTCTCATTACTTGTTAGCCTACATACCGTACAAGTAATTCTATACCTGAATCTATGCAGGAGGGGTCAGTGTCCACACTGAAATAATACTATCCTTAGAATGATGGAGGACATTTGCTAGGACAGTGGCTAGCCCAATCACTTGACACAAATTGGGATTATTGATGGTCACAGACTGGGAATCAGGACTCTGGATGAATTAATGAGTATCTAACTCTTCCTCCACTATTTCTTTGTTTCAGCTTTTGTGATTCTAAAAGCTCCTAGTTACAAATACCTGTTCTGGAGAACACCCTGGTGTAGGAAGAAGACATGTGCAGGCATACACACAAATACAAACTTACATTTAAATACAGTACTTTTCATTTTTCATTTTTTTCAATTTTACTTCTGAAGACTGTGTGTGATTGGTGTTTCCACATGTATGCAGAGTGCTGCCTTACCACCGGTCTCACTGTCATGGTAGTTGGGATCGAAGCCCCTCTCCAACATCTTAGACACTTTGTCCACCTGATTATGCTGGATGAGATCCATGAACTTCCTCAGATTGGCCTGCACAACCAAAGAAGACAAAGAGCTATTACAGTGAGAAGAAAGAACAAATGGTGGTGGGTGTAAGAGAGAAAAAGGCAGGAAAGAGGTTCAGAGCTGTAAAAGACTGAAATAGAAGTTGAGATCGAGAAAGGTGTAGAGGGTCAAACACATCTAAGGGTGAAAAGTGGAAGCATTTAGAAATACAGTGTGAAATTGTGGGAGACTCACTGTTGAAGATGGAGGAATAGAAAGTAGAATTAAAGGCTAGTGAAACCAGGAAGCACGGGAGGGGAGATGACAGGATTCAGAGTGTGGTGATTGTGGGGAGTGGAATAGCTGCTCCTTTCTGTCCTGTTATGTTCCTGTCTGCTTTCTTTCCAGGCCGCATGATATAAATAGATAAGAGAGCAGCTCCCCGAAGGAGAAGCGAAAATGAGGAATGAAAAGTGAGATAGCAGAAGAAGAAAAAGACAATGGGTAGCAATGAAAGAATAGACTGGGAAGAGAGGCACAGGAATAAATGAGGAGGAGTAAAAAGGGCAGGGACATGGGGTGGGAGTAGAGTGAAAGGCTGGGATGTCATCATCACATTGCGTTGGCCCAGATTTAAATCCAAGTGTATCAGCCAATACACAAGGGAAGATATTTATGTACTTATTAGTATAATTTTTTCCACCATCCTTATACAGCAGCACTGTTCTGATTTAGGGCAGTTTTGGCTACTAGCATTGTTGAAGAAACAAACAAAGACATGAAAATAGATTGGGTTTTATACTGAAGAAAAATTTAAACACAAAACTTTTGTATTTGCTTCCCTTTTTTTTACAGGCTCCAGATCAAAATCTAAAAAAAAATCATGCACTCCAGTTATATTTCTCTCAAATTTTGGTCTCAAATGTATTAAAATTTGTGGTAATGAGCACTTCTCCTTTCCAAGATAATCCATCTACCTGTCAGGTGTGGCATATCAAGATGCTGATTAAACAGTATCATTACTACACAGGCAGCAGATTCTCACTCCAACCTCGTCACTCATCTCGTCGTTTGGTCATGGACTTTCCACGTCTAGATATGACATGCAAGGTACCCTAGATGCGTTGGTTGTTGACATTCTGGTATGCCGTATCAACTTCAACCTGTTACATGCATTGTCTGTTCTTAAAAAATGCACTTTCGTGTTAACAGGAAATGTATAGTTTGCCTACAGTCTATGTAAAAATAAAAGCACTATGTTGATAGAACAATACAAATTGATGTTTTTTTCCTTCAACAACAAATGCACTTGTTACATTTAGCCAACACACAGGTTAGGTTTAGGCAACAAAAGCACGTTGGTACAACGTTTTTTTACTTCAAAAACAAATGCACATGGTTATGTTTTGCCTTCTCGTGCACGTGGTTGGGTTTAGGAAAAAAACAGTACAGGGTTTGGTGTTACAGTCTTAAGGGAAATGAACACCTGCCTCCCGGGTAAAAGTCTGTGGTTGCTGGACCCATCCACAATGCCAGGGGCATGCTCCATCTGTGACGTGTTGTGAGATCAAACTGCAGATTTTAGAGTGTCCATTTATTGTGACCATCCCAAGGCACACCTGTAAAGTAATGTGCTTACTAACATATATTTTTACGAATCTGTGACCAAAATTTGAAAGAAATATGTCTTTTGAGTGAATAATTAATTAAAAAGGTCTTAAAGGACAACTTCAGTATTTTTCAACCTGGGCTCTATTTCCCCATGTGTATGTGTGCATATGATTCATGAGTACCACTCGTTCTAAAATTGGTTCAGTATTGAGCCGCGAAACGAGCTAAAACGGTAATGGGGGCAAATGCGTCCCGTATAAAAGTGCTTTTTTTCGCCACTGTCCGGTTCAGATCGCCAGTGTTATCTCTGTAGATAGCATATGGTAGTGGCCCTGGGGCACTGGTGAGTGTGAATGAGTGGAGTCAGCTGTCAGTCAGTGTTGGAGCAGAAAAGCGGAAGGTGTCCCCGCTCGGTATTGTAAATGAGTATGTGTGTGTGAAATGTGTGTTTTTTCACCACTGACCAGTTCAGATCGCCAGTGCTATCTCTGTAAATAGCATGCTAACTTAGCCTTTCCCTTACCTCTGGGCTGTGTGATGTCAAGAGCTTTGCTCCACTGTGTCTGTAGCTCTCTCTACTCATGGGACAGCCGTTTTCTTGAGGAAGAGGTGTTTCGGGACTGGATGTCTTCTCTTCTTCGGCTGGCAGTAGTCATCTTGGGAGAAGTGAGCACTGAAGACCCGATGGTCTGCAAAGCGCAGTGTCTGGAGAGGAGTGTTAGCATCCATTTGTAGCACAACTAGCCACAACTTCAGCATCTCGCCGTCCGACAAAGGCAGCCTATGAAAGCTGTACGGGGTGTTGCGAGACATCCTGTTCTTGCGTTCAGGAAAAAGGCCCGTTTATTTGAGCACTCCAAAAACTCCGGTAACACTCCAGAGGGTAGCACGTAAAAGACTCGGCCCTCTGACTCTTCTAGCGTAACACACACTTCACACACACATACTCATTTACATTACCAAGCGGGGACAACTTCCGCCTTTCTGCTCCAACACTGACTGACAGCTGACTCCACTCATTCACACTCACCACTGCCCCTGGGCCGCTACCATTTGCCCCCATTACCGTTTTAGCTCGTTTCGCGGCTCAATACTGAACCAATTTTAGAAAGAATGGTACCCATGAATCATACACACACATACACATGGGGAAATAGAGCCCAGGTTGAAAAACACCGAAATTGTCCTTTAAATCTTTAACTTAAACCTGTGAAAAATGGGAGCAAAACAAAAGTTTTGTATTTATATTTTTGGTCAGTGTATTTTGCCAATACCTACACATGAAAATATGTATGACTGGGTTCAATCCCGATCCTGTCAAACTGGTAGTTGGTCAGCAAGTACCAGCATCAGATGGCAACAAAAAAGGGGGAGCGTCAGGGGGAAACACAAGTTATCTGGGCAGGAGGGGTGTTGGATAGGTACAACAACCACCAACTTTCACCCAGGAGGCCGGTGTTCACTTCCTGCAAGACTGTAAAGTCAAATCCTGTTCTTATTTCCGAACTTGGTGCTTTTGTTGTGTAAACCTAACCACGTAGGTGTTTGCTAAACATAACCATGTGCCTTTGTTGTTGAAGGAAAAAAACATCAATTCATGTTGTTCATGTTTTACATAAACTGCATGCAAACTGTACATTTCCTGTGAAAACAGAAGTGTATTTTTTAAAAACAGACAATGCATGTAACAGGCTGAAGTTGATACGGCGTTCCAGAACGTCAACAACCAATGCACCCACAGTAGCTTGCAAGTCATATCTTGACGTGGAAGCTCCATGACCAAAGGTATGTGATGAGGTTGGTGTGAAAATGCGTTGATCATGCATATCAGACTTCTGAATCTCAGCCCAAATCTCTGTCAGTCACGCTAAATTGGTCAAGACAAAATAACAACACCTCCCAAACTGAAACTAGCTAACAGGAACATGATGTCAGACTGAATATGGAATTGAAAACAAAATGATAATTCAGTCTGATAATCAGGCTGACAATATACAGCTGGCCAATGTGCACTGAAACAGCTGGTGTACCCGCAGAAAACAAACAAAGGATTGACAATAAATCTGGATCTTTATAACCAGCAGCAATCCATCAAAAATCCCCAAATCCGTCTGTCCCGATCTGGAGAATCTGCTCCAGAATTTGCTGCCAAAAGATTTTTTGATGTTCTTGCAGAGTGTCCGATCAGTGTCACCAACACCCACACCATTATCAGGTTGATTTAGCTTAATATTTAATGTTTTTGTTGGTTTACCATTTACTCGTTTCACAGCTAAATCCTCTGCATTCTTGTGGATCATTATGATGGTGACAGTTTAATGAAATCAAAAATAACTTTAACTGAGTCAAACCAAATAAGACTGACAACAGATAGGGAGCATTTCTGTTTAGATATCAACCATGATGAGTCACTGCCAGTTCAATATCTGTAAATGTCAAGGGTTCACGTACATGGCCCTGTGTTTTCATGCAATGTTTTATTTAATGTAGCAGATATGTGTGTGTGTGTGTGTGTGCGCATGCGTGCAGGCCTGGTGAATCAGAGTCTGGAGGATGGTGCCCTCTCCCTCTCTGCTGAAACAGGTTGGGAGGCTGGTGATTGATTGGCTGTCTCAGTGTAAGCTTCAGCCAACCATAGAGCACCAGACTGCATGACAAACAGGATTAGCTCCAAAAAGTTGGGTTGGCCAAGCAATGAGAAAGAAAGGACTAAGTTTTAGAAATAAATGTTTGTTAGAGAAGAGCCACATCATTTAACTAATGACTTTTGCAGTGTAAATGTTTTTGAGTGTGTGTTATCATCTCCCTGCTCCACATTTATACAACATGTTTTTCTTCCTTGCCTTCTTTTTTCTATTCTTCATTCTCCTTCCTTTCCTTCTCTTCTCTTTAGAGTTAGGGCAGCTGTCAGACAGTTTTCTAGTTTATAACAGAGAGCTGCCAGAGACACTTATGCTTTGGCTGCACAGGATTACAGTAGCTGTGGGACAGCAGCCCAGAGGTAGCTTTACACAACGATGAAAAATCTTCACTTTACTGTAGAGATTTACTTTAATTCATGTGGGGGAAACAGAGATGGGGCAGGGGAGGGGCTTGTTTCTGGGGCTGGCAGGAAAAAAGCGACTCCTTCTTAACAGCATACAAACTTACAGATCATCTCAGAGGAACAGAAAGCTCAAAAAAAGCCCAAATTGACAGGTAACCTACACTAGCGCTTGCTTGGAGTGTTTTTTCTCTGCTCTTTCCCTGTCACACAGTTCAGGCTGCCAAGAATGAAACCAAACAGATTCTCTTTCCCCCAGTCAACTAGTGAAGCTGCTAAACCGATAATGTTATCTGTAAGTTCTATTTTATTTTGGCAACATCGTTTATGTGAAACAGTCATTACTGTGGTGTTTTCACACTGCACTTCCCAGAGGCCAGTCGACAGTCAG